GTCGAGTCTCTGACTCATATTCCAAACCTATACTGCTTTCTCCGCAATAATTTCATTTATTAACTTGGGCCTCATACTTATTATACAGATACGGGTAAGCACTATGAACATTTTAGTTTTCTCGTTTTATTATATTGTGATATCATTTACGAAATTTACAATTTTTCTTTTAGCCCCCCTATACTTTCAGTACCTCGCGTCAAAAGTTTATTGTGTTAGTTCCGGCGCCTGGGAGGATATTACTCAACTGCATGATTGTTTAAAAAAATGCTTCAATATCGAAGGTCCATTGACCCCTTTCTTTATTTCATAAAAATGTTGCCAGAGCAACAATATACAAATAAAAAAAATTATTATTTTTTCATATCAGCATAACCAGCATCATCACCTTCGCCATTTCCTTGATCAGGAATGAATTCATACTCCAGGTTTATAGTATATTGTAACTGCACTGTTTTCTGAAGTGGACCTTGATTATTCCTAATTTCTTCCAGATATGTTTCATCATTACCAATCTTAAAATATTGTCCTCTTTGTTTATAAATTTTACTATAATTATACGGAATGGAGAAAATGAGATATATAAAACATGTAATACAAAATATAAAAACCGAAACAATTAGAAAACTCTGTAATTTACAATGTTTTTGGTTTGTTGGGTTCTACTAATTCTAGCGGTTCATAAGATTTTCCTTCTTCATCAAGATGAAATATTTCTATTTCATTAGGTCGAGGTCCTGGGTTCTCTATAAAATTATATTGATTAACTACGACTTCATTAACAAAACTAATAAAAGAATTTACCATATTTAACTGAAACATATCCCTCCATTGCAGACATTTTTCAAAAAATTATATATGAGCAAAAAAACGTTATTAATACCCACCTTTACATGACAAAAAATCGCTTATTTTTATACTGTCTATTCGTTAGATCTAAAAAACTTGCTAGAAAAAAATTACACAATTAGTAATTACGTCACCCTAACACAGTGCTAGACAACACTTAACAAGTAACTCCGCTCGGTCATAAGTTCCAAACACTGAACGTATTTTGTTATTTTTTCTGGTAAAATTAACCCCCTTAGATTTGACGATCACTACTACGAAGTAAAAAAGTTAACGATCTAGACGATCTGGAATTCCAAGTTTCTGTGACATATGAATTTTGATAAAGCTACTGATTAAGAATGTTATACTCTTTTCTCTTATAGCCCTTTTAAGTTCCATTTGCGCTTTTCCTATCGCAGTATCATATATAATAAGAAAAGGCTTTCTAGATATCTATTATAAATCAAAAATTGAACGTGAGAAAAAGGCAGGTTGGTAGTACATGACCCCAGGTCACAATATCACATGACTAAAATTAGTTTATTTTTTTATTACGATCGGATTGTTAATATTAAGACTTTAAATAACAATATATAATATACAAGAGAATCGGATTTTTATTAAGATAAGTAAAATTACAAATATTACTAACACTAAAGACATAAAAAAGAGTATTATTTACTAATTCTATGAATAATTTAACCTATCATTCAGAATATGGCAGACTAAAATGTGTAAATGTAAGGCCTGAACTATCATTAATTCTAAATCCTCTAATAATCATCTATTTCGCATAATCTATGTTTGTAACTCTAAGCTAATTTGACCCCATGTTAGCCAAGTCTCTCCTACAGTTGCAACAATATCGATCATACTCCAATTAGGTTATGTGATAAAATTCTTGTAAGTATATATGGGTTAGTCGAAAGCGTTTATGAAGCAAAGATTAATTAAGGTTTGGACTAGTTTATTTCGTATGTTTTAACTAGTTAACTATAGTTAACTACTCGAACAAGTTAATGTGTCGCACTAATGCAATGAGCCTTGAGAATTTTATAATAATAATTTTATCTACTCGAACAATAGATACTATAGTCAACTATTAAAACTATATGAATAAACTAATGAATTTACTCAAACTAAGTTATGCGCATTGATAATATCCATCCGATAGAAGGATTTCTCAGACGCAGTTGATACTTGGGCGCATCTGTGAGATTTAACTACGCTAGTTTATAATGTGGTAACTACAGTCATTTATTTTAGAGGATCTATTAATAATAAAAAACATATCTTATACCTCTGATTTATACACACTCCAAGTCCTATTCGAGCTGAAAATTTTTACTGACTCGAGTCGGCGAAATTTTTGCTGAGTGATATGAGAATTGTTTAACCAAACATCGCTTTAACAGATTTTTATATCAATTAAAGTGTATAACGATCACTATAAAAAAAAATTTCTTATTGTCAATAATTCTCCAGCTAGTAAGAAGGTTAGGATCAAAAAATTTACAAAATAATGGGTAGATAGATTCACATGTACACAGTAATAGCCATGTTATTTTTATTGGTACCAATAAAGCCAACCAAGAAAGACATAACTACATAGCACATAATACATATATACGAAGCTTTTAATATATGCTATCAATATTTCAAATATAAAAAACTACTCATTAGATGAGACATAGTCTCGAAGCTATGCTTCTTCTACGAGAATATGAATCGAGATTTCTGAAGGTTTGGGATTGAAATAATCGCTGATTTTTTTTCAGGTTCCATATACACATATTCTCTACGTTCAATATTAACTGCACGAAGATTAAAAGAAATATTTCCATACTCATTGAAGTAGAAATCCCAGATTCTAGTACGTAATGCGTTAACAGATTCATTTTTAGAAATAGAAATTCCATTCGGCATACTTTGGTACCCAAAAAATGGACCAGTAGGAATGACAAGAAATATAAGATGAATATTATCTTTACTCATTTTTCTGTCAAATAAAGAGTTCTCATTAGTTAGAATTTCATTAATGTTTTTACAGCAAGACAGGTAAATAAACGTACCTTTTTTTGATATGAGCAATAATGGAGTATAATATAAAATTTTAAGTATTTATATATCTATTGAGATGCTAGTTCTGCTAATTCACCGTAATTAGGGGGGCATCATATGATTTATCTAAAAGTAATATATTCTTATTTTGTGTTTGGTTAGTTATATGAAATCTATATCCAATAAACAGTTACGTATTACTTAGCTAAGCTACTTCTGTTCATTTAATAATACAGATCGAAGGCGAGACTGTTATAAGAAATTAAATCAGGTTAGTTTGAAGATCAATTGGTTGTTGAATTCGTTCTACCGCTACATTTCTTGAAGAATAGTTAACTCAATAATAATCACACCGTGTAAAATCATGCAATAACATTATTTGTTTACTAGCTCTAACAGATTGGCCTAAACTATACTGTCACATATACCCCCTAATATTTACCCCAATATAGGCCGAATGTTTAATCATATAGTATAATTATTTTATTGAGTTAACTTTCTCCAATCTACCCGTATTCAGTTTCACAATACTTGTATCACATTACTTTTTAGCAGAAATTTTTCCGGGTAAATATGTTGAATGAACATCTATGCTACATAATCGATTTTTTAGGCATATCGGCATTTTTATTAACTCAGAATTTTTAAGTGCCTTAAGCAATAGCTCCACACAACCAAACATTCGGTAAAATTTATTACTTTTTTAGACGAAATTCTGCATAGCAGACAGGGTCTAACTTTCCACCTCATTTATAGGTTCCAATGGTTGACTACCCCCTACATCGGCCATACTAATATCACTATCATTTTGTGATGCAGATATGTTAGGGGTTGAAGTAGTATTTGCCAAATTAGTTAAAGATGAGTATATCGCATTATCTAAATTTCTAGCTACATCATTAGTGTTATGGCCTGAATTCCTATCCGCATCATTTACATTACTTACATTATCTCGATTAGTAGTTTCGTCTCTTCTGGTGGGATTTCTCCGGGTCGGGGATGCAGATCGATCCCTTTGACTAGCGGGAGATTCACGACGACTCATATTTATCATTGATGAAACTTCTTCGTAGGTTGGTGGTGGAGTGCGGTTTCGCCGTCTTTCTTCTCTTCTTCTCGAGGATGCGTTTACGTTATGTATTTGATCAAACTGTGTTTCTAGATTTTTTTTATACATAATTAACAAATTAATAATTTGTTTCTATTTCAAAGACACCTACAGCAAAGGCGGACGAATGTTCGAGATTAATGTAGAACCTTACCCGGTCTCTCCCAAAAACGTGAACGGAATTCCTCAAAGTATCGTACTCCGGTTCTGGTTCTACGCCCTGCACGATTTCCTGCCATATATTGGCACATCAACTAACAAGGATCAAGAAAATCGTTAGGCACTATCACAACCTAATTATGGTTCAATCTGTCAATAAGTGCCTTCGGTAGAAATACTTACAGTGTGATCCCTTACAAGATTTTGAAATTTACCCTTGCATTGATATCCCGTATAGTTGGTACTAAATCTCCTATTAATTATATCCGTAATATTATTCCAAAAATCCACCCTACTACTTCCAGGGATTTCGTGGTACTCGACATTTCTATTTCTTCTTTCGGCGATTAATAAGCGTAATTGATCGTCAGTCCACATAACTAAGTTTCTAACGCGACTCAACCGCGACTCTACAGCGATACACCTGTTTTTCATAGAATTATATAGAAAAAAAATACTGCAACTCAACCGCGACTCAACAGTGATTAGTATATCATTAGCTGACATAACCAAATTAATCGTCAGATAATCACGGTATAACATCCTAAAGAAGTATGATTTTTGACACATCTCGGACCGAGTGATCCAGAATAAAAAATTTCATATACATACCCACTTTCTTTTTGAATAACTAGGATGGACATTACGTCCGAAATTTCGTATGGAATAGAAATCGAAAGGAGAGGTAAGTGGCTAGAATTACATTAAAAATTCATTAATATACACACATTAAACAATGCTCCAAAGGATCGAGTCTTATTGTGGAACAATGGCACTTACGTGCCCGACTCCCTGATTTTTTGTAACAGCGTAATATATAAAAATCAGATAAGTGTATGAAACTAATTTCGAGTTTGGTGATCGATCAATTCATTCACGAATTAATTAGTATGAACCAGGAGAGTCAAAGACTCGATCCAAAGGATCATCACTCAATCTTCTGTTGCTCTTGATTTTATAGGCTTCTTTGATTGTTGTGAATCGGGATCTTTGTTAGATTTTAAAACACTTAAGTATGTATGTAGTGTCGCGGAGTTAATTAGAGGTGGGTCTTCCCTCTAAATGTCTAGACCGATGGGTTAGAGCTTCGCTTTTGGGCGTCAAAGGGGCACGTACGATTATTTATTAGGCTGTTACTTTCTTGTTTACGTTATTCGATGTTAATGAGTTTTAATGATATGTATTTATTTGTTAAGCGTGATGACAGATTTCAATAAAGAATAGTTCTACTAATAAAGTGTGTTTTACTGTGTGAGAGCCAAAGATGCTCTTTATTAATTATGCTTTGAGCTATTTATATTTCTCTTTGTTAATCGCTCAATCGATTACTCAAATCAATTACAAACTATAACTACATTGTTCATGCAATAACTTCAATAAACTACGGAACTATGACTATATTAATTATGCAAATCAACCATGCTAACTTTCGAATCATTCATTTATTACATCATATATTCGTCTCCGATCCTTCTTCATCACTGGATACCTATCGCGTGTATTACAATAAGGCTCGTGATAGTAGGCATGTATCATCTTATCTAAGCTATAAATACTGTTAACAACGATGTTATTTCCAATAAATTAGCTCGCTAAAAATGTTCTCAAACAACGACTTATAGATTGGTCAAACTCACGATGAAAATCAGATGCAAAGCATCCTGCCCCACAGACAATAATTCGATACAAATTAACTCAATGTCACGTGTGTTACGGTTGATTGACATAATTAATTTGACGAACGATTGAAAATGTCATAATAAATAAGTAATGCGATAGATAAATTATTTTGAGGTGGATCTGAGAGATAACTCAAAACCCAATCCGCACAAAAAATGAATCCTGATATTCTATAGTATATCGTACCAAATCTAATAGGTCTAAATCCCTAAATACAGTATAAATCACATAATCTCTAAAAACACTATAATACGTTAAATTACTTAATCATTAAATATGGTCTATACAGATAATTGTCCAGTTTTAAATGATATCGAGTGGAGGGATAACTGCCAATTTCCAGTAATTCGTGATGGGGAAACACCATCTAATTGGAAGAACCGAATCTGGAAT